AGGCTGAGGCTGAGGCTGAGGCTGAGGCTGAAGGCTGAGGCTGAGGCTGAGGCTGAGGCTGAGGCTGAAGGCAGGAGGCTGAGGCTGAGGCAGGCTGAGGCTGAGGCTGAGCTGCTGAGGCAGGCTGAGGCTGAGGCAGGCTGAGGCTGAGGCTGAGGCTGAGGAGGCTGATGAGCTGAGGCTGAGGCTGAGGCAGGCTGAGGCTGAGGCTGAGGCAGGCTGATGCTGAGGCAGGCTGAGGCTGAGGCTGAGGGGCTGAGGCTGAGGCAGGCTGAGGCTGAGGCCGAGGCTGAAGGCAGACTGAGGCTGAGGCTGAGAAGCAGGCTGAGGCTGAGGCAGAGGCAGGCTGAGGCTGAGGCAGGCTGATGCTGAGGCAGGCTGAGGCTGAGGCTGAGGCTGATGCAGGCTGAGGCTGAGGCAGGCTGAGGCTGAGGCCGAGGCTGAAGGCAGACTGAGGCTGAGGCTGAAGCAGGCTGAGGCTGAGGCTGAGGCAGGCTGAGGCTGAGGCTGAGGCAGGCTGAGGCTGAGGCAGGCTGAGGCTGAGGCTGAGGCTGATGCAGGCTGAGGCTGAGGCAGGCTGAGGCTGAGGCCGAGGCTGAAGGCAGACTGAGGCTGAGGCTGAAGCAGGCTGAGGCTGAGGCTGAGGCAGGCTGAGGCTGAGGCTGAGGCAGGCTGAGGCTGAGGCAGGCTCAGGCTGAGGCTGAGGCAGGCTGAGGCTGAGGCCGAGGCTGAAGGCAGACTGATGCTGAGGCTGAAGCAGGCTGAGGCTGAGGCTGAGGCAGGCTGAGGCTGAGGCAGGGCTGAGGCTGAGGCAGGCTGAGGCTGAGGCTGTGACTGCGACTGCCGTTGCCACTGCGACTGTCATCGCGAATGCGACTACGACTGCGAGAACAGCAGAATTCTACAACTGGATTCTCATCCGAATCCTAAGGGGAATGCTTCCAGATATGCTCCTACACATCGATGTTAGGTTGCTTTGCCGGGATAATTTGACTATTTTTGTAAAGGGGCATGCCCGACCTAATCCTAAGGAGAGACCCCACCTGCTCGAAACAGGCGCAAAAAGCAGCCAAGAGCTACTCCATGGGGGGGGGTGCGAGGGCCTGCGACGATCGGCAAAACAATGAAGAAGAAAACGATCACTAGGTGGGGGGGACCGGCTCTAGGTTGGGCAAGACGCGACACTCGGGTTCGCGGGACACGGGCTGGCCTGACGAGGCCGTCAGGGAACTGGCGAGGCCCAGCCTCAAGTCTGGTGCGAGCTCCCGCTGCAAGCATCCCGGGGAAGCTGGACCGTCTAAACTTAGGACGGGGGGCCCGTCGAACAGCGTCAGCAAATCCGAATTCTGGGGAACTCGAGTCTTGGAGGAGGAAACGGAGGAGGAAACGGAGGAGGAGGAGGAGGAGGAGGAGGAGGAAGAGTCTTACGTTTCCCCGATCAAGGCGGGAAACATCGAGCTGAAGCCCTCGACACATCGCCGGTGGCTTGGCGACAGGCCCCCTTTCTAGCGAATCCGCAGGCTCCTCGGCGGGGTGGGCTATCGTCAGGAAGCAACTCTTGGAAGGCCTTCCTCAAATCGGGAGCGGCCAAGATGGGGGTGTCCAAAAGGGGGGGGTGCAAATCATGACCGGCGGCCTGTGCGCGGCCCAGCGGGGGGGCCAGGGACGTAATGACATAAGCAGAGGCGCCAGGAAATCTGGGGAAAGATCATGGCCCACGCCATGATATCCAACCCCCCCCCTAGTCACCACCCCCCTCTTTTCCGCCCCCGATCAAAAAACCAATGGCGATTATGACCAGACTCGGCCCAAGACTAAGTGGGACTAAGCGGGAGTAAACGAGGTTTAGTGTGATTAAGCAGGACTGAGCCGGCTTGGGCTGGTTTCTGACCACGAAAATACCAGCGCCGATGCAAAATAACACTTCCCAGGAGTTGTATCCGAACTATCGGGCCCCCTTCGGCGATCATTGGGCGACTGGGAGCAAATGCATCCCCCCATGAGCCTATCCCCCTTAAATCGGGAGCGCGCAAATATGGATTAGCGATCCATGGATTTGGCGCGCGGTCGCCAAATCCATGGATCGGGGGAGGTGCCCTCCCCAAATGCGGCCGGTGCCGCCTCGCTCGGCGGCGGAACTCCGCGATGTCCCCTGGAAGCGGGACCCGTGGCTAACCCACGCCCCCTCAATCCATGTCTGCCATCGCCGGACCATCGGCGATCCGTGGGCGACTGGGAGCGTCCCCCCCGCACGAGCCGATATCCCCCCCAAACGTTGCCCCTGGTCAGGGGGCCACACGCGAACCCTACCCCTACCACCCACGATTTCTGAGGGGGAGGGTGGGGTTCACTTCGTCTGGGAGCTCTCGAGCGAAGTGAACCCCACCCTCCCCCTCAGAAATCGTGGGGGGTAGGGGTAGGGTTCGCGTGTGGCCCCCTACCTGATGGTTTTCGGGCCATTCGACTCGGCTCTCCAGCGGCTGCCCGCCGTCGATCCGGGGGGACCCCGAACGCCCTCGGCGAGGCGCAGCCGCAGGAGAGACCATCCCGAGGCCGGGGAGCCTGCAGGAAGCCGCGGGCAGGCCCGAGAACGTCCCCTCGAGAGGTGCGAGAGCCCCCTGCCCCGAAGAACCTCCCCCCCCCTCGGCCTATCTCCCCCCCCCCCACGACGTTGCCTCTCTGGTTTAGATTCAGCCGAATTTACTTGCATGGCACTTCGCCCTCTCCCCTCCCCCCATTGTAGGGGAAAGAGAACTACGCACACACGCCGACTCTGGCCAGGCCCCTCCTGAGCCCAGGATCGCAGCATACGCCCGCTACCTTGGCCAGGGAGGTATATGCACCGATCCTGGGTCGAGGACGGGCCTTGCCAGGATCGGTGCATGTGCATAGTTCTCTTCGCCCGACCACATCCGCCGCCTTTCCAGACAGCGCTGGGCCCGCAGGTCGCGCAGAGGAGGCCCGACTTGCACGAGAGCCAGGTCTCCTCTTGGGCCTCGCCACGCCTCCCCCTGTCCCTGCCCGTGCACGAGCACGCGGCAGGGTACCAAAGAATGTGAGCCAGCGTGGACCACAAATCGAGTTTCTAGCCATCTATGTTGTGCAGTCTATGAGGCGCACTCCATGTTGTGCAACATATGTTTTGTGCGGTATATGTGGTGAAATCCGCCGGCCCCCTTGCGGGGCCACCAGGCCGCGAGGATGAGGCTTGCAGCTCCCTGTTCCAGTTGCAACTTCCAGTTTCCACTGTTACAGTCCTGCTTTCTGCTTCCTTACTGTTAATTGTTGCTGTCCGCGCGAGGGGTGGGGCCCCAAACAAGTTTGTTTGGTGTGACCAAGCACATGGAAAGTTCTCAGGACTCGCAGGGGGGCGTGGGAAACGTAAAAATACTTGATTCGTGACCCCGAGGCCATAATCCCTTATAAATTACATTGCATTTGCGCCCCCGAAGCCAAAACCATCGTAAAGTATACAATATCCATGCCCCCGAAGCCATAAAACTTTGAACAATTCTACAATGTTCGCGCGCCCGAGCCCAAAAACCTTCAAAACTTATACATTCTGCGCATTGTCAGGGCCATAAGCCATTGTAAATTGCACCGTGCTCGCGTCCCCGGGGCCACAGACCCTCGCAAATCATACCATAGTCGCGTCCCCCCGGGGCCATAAACACCTTCGTAGAATATACAATCGTTGCGCCCCCGCGCGCTGGTTGCGCCCCCGAGACCACACACTCTCGTACATTACGCAATATCCGCGTCCCCGAAGCCACAAACCATCGTATGTTACTGGATGCTCGCGCCACCGAAGCCATCATCCTCAGTAAGTTAACAGTGGCCCTCGCGTGACGTCCGGACACTGCTTCACATCAGCGTCCATACATACAACAGAGCTCTGGCAGGTCCCATGCTAAGAAAGGGGGGGCCGGCGGCATGGCCCGTAGGGAACTAAATGAAGGACTATGCGGTGATATCTACGTGGTCCAATCTATGTGGTGCAATCTATGTTCTGTGTACGATCTGCGGTGTGACCTACGTGGCGCTACATATGTTGTGCAATGTTTGTCTAGTGAAACGTATGCGTTGTGCAACTTCTGATGTACAGCCTTTGTGATGCAATCACTGTGGTGAAATCCATGTGGTGCGATCTGCGTATCACACTTGATAAGGAACCATCTACGAAGGGCAATCTAATATATGCGGTACAGTCTGTGCGGTGCAGTCTCTGTTTCATGCGGCAACGGGGCGGCGACGGCGGCAACATAGCGACGGCGGCAACATATTCGCCAGAGCGGCACACTGGCCCAGACGACGGGCGGCGACGGGGCGGCGACGGACCAGCGACACACCAGCCCCGACGACGGGCGGCGACGAGGCGGCGACGGGACGGCGGCGGCGGCAACATATCCGCCAGAGCGGCACACCGGCCCAGACGACGGGCGGCAACGAGGCGGTGACGGGGCGGCGACGGCGGCAACATAGCCGCCAGAGCGGCACACCAGCCCGATCCCTTAAAGAACAGAAATAGGACCCCCTGGCTGCAAGCACTGTTTAGGAACACAACAGGCACCCGAACTGCGTCAAACCGTAAAGACGAGAGGGCCCCCCCGAAGATCAACTACCGTCGACTCAACTCGCCCTCCGCCTCGTGGTTTTCGGGCCGCAGCTCGGGTCTCATGCGGCCGCTCGGGAAGATCTGGGCAGCCCCAGAACGCTCTCGGTGCGGCGCGGCTGCTGGAACGCACCCCGAGGCCAGAACACCGCAGCGAATCGAAGAACCTCGAGCCTCGAACCTCGACCTCGAACGGCCGAAAAACCTCGAACCTCGAGGACACCCCCGAGCGAGCCCGTGGCAGGGGTCCCCGGCGAGGCGACCGCAGCCGCGACGCCGCCGACGGCGCCCAACCCGCCACCGCGGGCGGCGGGCAGCACGGCGCCGAGGAGGCCGGCACCAACGGCGGCGCCGCCGCCGGCGGCGAGCGGCCCGCGGGCTCCCCAGCGTCCGCGAAGGTGCCCTCCGCTGCCCTCCGGACGAGGGCGTCGCCGTCGTCGACGTCGTCGTCGTCGCCGTCGCCGCGGTCGCGGTCGTCGTCGCCGTCGTCGTGGTCGCGGTCGTCGTCGCCGTCGTCGCTGTCGTCGTCGTCGTCGACGTCATTGTCGTCGTCGCCGTCGTCGCGGTCGCGGTCGTCGTCGCCGTCGTCCCAGCCGTCATTGTCGTCGTCGTCGTCGTCGTCGAGGTCGTCGGCGTCGTCGTCGTCGCCGTCGTCGCAGTCGCGGTCGTCGTCGCCGTCGTCGTCGTCACCAAAGCCGAGGTCGTCGTCGACGTCGTCGACGTCGCCGTCGTCGCGGCCGCGGTCGTCGTCGTCGTCGTCATCGTCGTTGCCGTCGTCGTCGTCGTCGTCGCCGTGGTCGTCGTCGACGCCGCGGTGGCGGTCGCGGTCATCGTCGACGTAGTCGTCGTGGTCGTCGTCGACGCCGCGGTGGCGGTCGCGGTTGTCGTCGACGTCGTCGTCGTCGTCGACGTTGTCGTCGTCGTTATCATCGTCGTCGCGGTCGCCGTCGCGGTCACGGTCATCGTCGTCGTCGTCGTCGCCGTCGTCGCGGTCGCGGTCGTCGTCGACGTCGTCGTCGTCGCGGTCGCGGTCGTCGAGGTCGTAGTCGGCGTCGTCTTCGTCGCCGTCGCCGTCGTTGCCGTCGTCGTCATCTCTGTCGCCGCCCTCGGGGTGAATTTGTTTCGCTGCAACACGTGTATGTTTCCACGCTGGGCCACTTAGCTCGTGCGCGTGCCGTTGGCATCGCGAGACAGGTGGGAGAAAAAACATTGATAGCGAAGCTGATACGCAACTCCAATCTAGGAGGGTGAGGGAAGAGCGAAGGCCCATCTTGCATCATGCAGCGCAGTACCGCCAATGCCGGAAGAGCGATCCGAAAACACAGTCTCAACCCAACATCAACCGGGACTCCGCTGCACTCGAAAAGAAAACGCCGAAGTCGTCGTCGACATCGTCGTTCTCGTCGGCGTCGTCGTCACGGTCGTCGCGGTCGTCGTCGTCGTCGTCACGGTCGCGGTCGTCGTCGACGTCGTCGTCGTAGTCGCCGTCGTCGCGGTCGCGGTCGTCGTGGTTGTAGTCGGCGTCGTCGTCGCCGTCGCCGTCGTCGCGGTCGCGGTCGTCGTCCACGACGTCGTCGCTTAGGGGGGATTTGGGCCAGTTAGATTGCGCGCGTGCCGTTGGCATGGCGATACAAGTGAAAATTGATCGACGCGGAGATCCCCAGATGCTCATGTCATATTCCCGGCACGTCTCGCTGGGGGACTCTGTGTTTGAAATGATGGGTGCGTGAGCGAGTCCGCGTAGACAACTGGAGCGAGGGACTGCGACGACAGCGACGCCTTCAGTGACGCCTTTTCCCCGGCTTTTTTTTATAAAAAAGAGGAAGGGGGTAAGCGCAAATGGAAGAGCGAGGGGAGGAGTTCCTCTAGCAGCTCGCACGACAGTTTCTCAGGCGAGAGCGTACGGCGTGAACTGGTGGAAGATGTTGCCTGCTCGTTCCTCCAGCGGTCAGAGCGAGCCTTGCCCCTTCCTCCAGACAAAAGCGCCGTCGAGACTTGCCGTCGGGAGAGACCGCCCGCGCATGGCATCGGGCCGATAGGTCAGGCGCTTGGCGGCAAGTGGCATCGCGCAGGACGCGGCTGAGTGCGAGGCGACCTGGGTAGCAGGGCTGAACCTAAACGGTGTGTTTCGTTTTCGTGTTGTGTTCGTTCTCCCTCGTTTTGTCCCCAATCCGCCCTGAACGCAAAACGACATCGAAACGAAAGCGGCCCACGAGATCGCCAAAACACCGTTTACCGAGCATGTTCTTTGGGTGGAGGGCAAGGGGTGAAATCTTAAATGCCGTTACGATGGATGTTCGAGGCTCGAATCTGCAAAGGGTGAATCACAAGACGGATGGACTTTCGAGGTGCCAAAGCCCATATGGATTCCACCCCGAGCCCCCCACCCCGAGAAGATGCCCAGGTTTAGGTCCACCCCTGCTGGGCAGGGCGCGGCGGGGCGCGAGGGGGGCTGGCACCAACAAGCCGTCGTCGGCACCTGGCGTCGGCCCCGCGGCCCGGGCCCGCGCACGCAGTGCGGCAGTGGAGAAGAAAACAACATGATGGACCCACGAACCCGGAAAGGGATATAGACATGTGGAGCATGGACACGTTTTCATGATACCCAACTGGGCAACACCTCACGAAACATCCCACGAGACACCTCACGAAACAGCCCACGAGACACCTCACGAAACATTCCACGAGACACCTCACGAAACATTTCACGAGACACCCCGCGAAACATTCCACGAGACACCCCACGAAACATTCCACGACGACAGGCAACCACTCAACCAAGGCGGTGTGGTCGTGCTGGGGAGTGGTCGTGCTGGGGTGTGGTCGTGCTGGGGGGTGGTCGTGCTGGGGGGTGGTCGTGCTGGGGGGTGGTCGTGCTGGGGGGTGGTTGTGCTGGGGCGTGGTCGTGCTGGGGCGTGGTCGTGCTGGGGCGTGGTCGTGCTGGGGTGGGGTCGTGCGTGGGGTGTGGTCGTGCTGGGGTGTGGTCGTGCTGGGGCGTGGTCGTGCTGGGCGTGGTCGTGCTGGGGTGTGGTCGTGCTGGGGGTGTGGTCGTGCTGGGTGTGTGGGTCGTGCTAGGGTGGGGTCGTGCTGGGGTGGGGTCGTGCTGGGGTGTCGTGGGGGTGTGTCGTGCTGGGGTGGTCGGGGGCGTGGTCGTGCTGGGGTGGGTCGTGCTGGGGTGGGGTCGTGCTGGGGTGGTCGTGCTGGGTGCTCCGCACCCTGTGATTTATCGATCGGTCGTGCTGGGGTGTGGTCCGTGCTGCGTGCTGGGTGTGGTCGTGCTGGGGTGTGGTCGTGCTGGGGTGTGGTCGTGCTGGGGTGTGGTCGTGCTGGGGCGTGGTCGTGCTGGGGCGTGGTCGTGCTGGGGTGTGGTCGTGCTGAGGTGTCCCGCACCCTGTGATTTATCGATCGGGATTTCAAAAACAAGCGTTTCGCCTGAGACATCCTCAAATTTTAATCCGCCGGCCTCCTTCGACCTCGATATTTATCAGGGAAAGAATCCGCCGGCCTCCTTCAAGTTGGGCACGGGGGGATATGTTTACATACTAAAAGAGAACCCTGGGCCTACGCCCTTTCCGGGAAAAACAATCGGAGTGCTCTTCGGGGCCAGCTTTAAGTCGGGCGTGTCCCCTTACAGGGGGATGTTCGACGAACAATGAAACATACCCCGAAAATGATTGCCCCAACGAGGTCAGAAAATACTCCACAAATCGTCCCCGGACGATTTTCTTCACTATTTTTGAACCTTCCCCCTGTCGAGGGAGAGGCCCGACTGAAGGCCAGCTCCAGCAGGACCGCTCGCACTCCGACTACCCCTACCAGACCACCCCAACCCGACCCGAAGACCCGAATTTCGGGCTGGGGGGGGGGTACGGGTTCCATACGTGTGTTTCTCAAACTGTTCCCCCACCCCCCACCCCTGGAAATGGAGGGCAAATTGAGGCCTTCGGGCTGGGTTGGGGTGGTTTGGTAGGTGGCCATGGGAGGCCCGGAGGCTTCCCAGGGTGGGCCCCCCTCCCGGCCAGGACGGGGGGGGGGGTACGGGTTCCATACGTGCTTTCTCAAACTGTCCCCCCCCCCACCCCTGGAAATGGAGGGCAAACTGAGGCCTTCGGGTTGGGTAGGAAGAGGAGAAGGAGGTGGATGGGGGAGGAGGAGGAGGAGGAGGAGGAGGAGGAGGAGAAAGAGAAGCAAGGGGAAGAGGACGAAGAGGAGGAGGAGGAGGAGGAGGAGGAAGAAGAAGAAGAGGAGGCGGAGGGGAGGAGGAGGAGGAGGAGGAGGAGAGATGAGGAGGAGGGAAGAGGGAGGAGGAGGAGGAGGAGGTTGGGGTGCTTTGGTGGGCGGTGACGCTCCGCATCGAGCCCACAGGAGGGCCACAGGAGCGGCCGCTCTCCGTGGCCGCACGCCCTCGGCACGCTCCCCGGCAGGCCGACCGGCCCCCGTCGCCGCCTGCCCTGCGGCTCCCCCTGGGGCCGCGCGGAGCTGCCCGAGAACCCCATCGTCACCGCTGGCCTTCTGTCGGGCCTGTCCCCCTACGGCAGGTTCGTGTCGTGCCGACCCCAGCGCAGGGATCGTTCAACCTTGAACGATCGGCCGCTGCCGCAACGTCCGATCGCTCCACATCGATCGATTCTGGGTCGCCGGCGGCGTTCAACCTTGAACGCCCGCGCTGGGGTCGCCGCTGGTCGACACGACGCAAACCTACCGTAACAGGAAGATTTTGGACGAAGCATAAAAAATACCCCCCAAAAATGCACCGAAAAGGTCCCAACATGCTCAGAAAAGAGTCCCCGCATTATGTTTGGACCTTTTTTTGCACTATGTTTGGGGGTATTTTATATTTTTCGGCGAAAATCCCCCTGTGGGGGGACAGGACAGGCCCGACATAACGCTTGTCCCGTCTGCCTCGGCAGCTCTTGCGTCGGCCTCCTGGACCGCGCGCGGAAACTGTCTTCGGAGAGATTGTGGCCGAGACCTCGGGAGGAGCTGCAGAAAGGCGACGGGCATCCACGCTGAAGCCCGGGATGATATGATCGGGTCCGGCAAGCTGCCTCGGACACACTGGCGTCGGCACGCTGGCCTGTGAAGCTGGTAGCCACCAAAATTGTGACCGAGGCCCGTCGCTCCTGGGAGGGGTCCAGTGTGAAAAACCTGCGACGATGGCCCCGGAGGCCAAACGCATGGAAAGACCGGCTCCAAGCTAGAGCCCCTTCCACTGGGACGCGTCTTCAAGCCCTGGGACCGTGCAGAACCGATCCCGCACGAAAAACTAGCCAGGGTGGGACCCGGACGGGCCGCGGAGGGAGCCACCGTGGAGAACTTGCCGAGATGGCCTCTCGACGCCTCGGGAGGCGGGACAGGATGGACCCCGGGAGGGAGCCGCGCGCATCGGCTCTGAGCGAGACTGCGCCAGGGTGAAAACGGAGGGGGGCGCGGGAGGATGCCGAAGTACTCCAGATTTCTTAATAAAAGGGAGGGGGTCTGGACCCTCCAAGACAAGCCATTTCAGACCCCCCCCGTGGGAGAACCCTCCAAAACATCGTCCCCAGACCCCCCCAGGCCCTCCAAGATAGCCTGGAAGAGACCCCCCCCGAAATGAGACCCCCCTCCCTGTATTACGAAATCTGGAGCACACACCTGCACCCATCCTGGCCAGGGCCATCCGGGAAAGCGCCCTCCTGGCCCCACCACGGACGGCGCATGCGCCGGGCCGGGGCCGAGGGCCCGTGCGGGCGTGCAAGCAGCTCCTCTCGAAAGGGGGCGGAGAACGACGCACTTGGAGCAGGAGGGGGTCGCGTCGGACCTCGCCCGTGCCACAGCCCTCCGCGAGAGCTAACGCAATTTTTTGTCCCGCGCCCTTCCGGGCAAGTTCCCGCACTCTACTGACTACCTACCAGACCACCCCAACCCAACCCGAAGACCCGAATTTCGGGTTGGGGGGGTATGGGCTCCATATGTGTTTTTTCGATGTTCCGGGACCCCCCCCACTAGAAATCGAGGGTAAATCTGAGCCTTCGGGTTGGGTTGGGGTGGTTTGGTGGGTGGTGATCTACGGGGAAAGGGGGTCCAAGCGCGCGCTCGCCGGGCTTCAGGAAACAACTTGCGCTATAGACTTCGCGGGTGGGTGGCGCAGCGCTCACGGGGAGCGCGCACGGTTCTGGACATAGCACAAAGGAAACGGAAGAGGACGTCTCCTCATTTTCCTCCTGGTCTTTCTATTTTGAGTAGCCAAAAAAAGGATTCCTAACCATTTGGGAGGGGGCCCAAGTTAGGAGGGCCAACAACAAACTCGGGATAAGGAGGTCTTTTCTGCGGATGTATCAGACCAAACCGCCCAGAACAACTATCCCTAATGCGAAAACGTGGACCTCAGTGAGGCCTCGTCGTCATCGTGTCATTGGGATCAGGGGCTCTTTTGTTCTCGGTGATACTCCTCCTCCTCCTCCTCCTCCTCCTCCTCCTCCGCCTCCTCCGCCTCCTCCGCCTCCTCCGCCTCCTCTTCCTTATCACAGGAAGGGGGGAGGGAGGCGCGAGGCTCTTTTGTTCTCGGTGATACTCCTCCTCCTCCTCCTCCTCCTCCTCCTCCTCCGCCTCCTCCGCCTCCTCCGCCTCCTCCGCCTCCTCTTCCTTATCACAGGAAGGGGGGAGGGAGGCGCGAGGCTCTTTTGTTCTCGGTGATACTCCTCCTCCTCCTCCTCCCCCTCCTCCTCCTCCTCCTCCGCCTCCTCCTCCTCCTTATCTCAGGAAGGGGGTGAGGGAGGCGCGAGGCGAGGTGACGGGACAGGAAGGCCCCGTCGGGCGACGGAGGAGCGGGGGTCCTACACGGGAGGGCACAAAGAGAGCACGGAGTGAGCGGGCGGGCGCTCGCTCGCAGCCACGGCACCCCTGAGAGGGCGTCGAGGGCCCCGCGGCTGTGGAAAACGCGGGCCGCGGCGAGGACTGGGAGATGTCCACGGGGCAGCGGACATCCGAGACCTCGGAGGCCCGCGTGGCGAAGGGAGGACAATGAGCCGGAGAAGTCCCAACACCTCCGCGCCAGGGCAGCTCCTCCGTGGCCCTTGGTGGCCCGGGAGAAGGGCCGCTGCGAAGGAGCGCGCCCGTGGTGGCCTCGCAGTGCCCGAGGTGCGGGTCTTTTTCCCAACCCTCCTTGGTTGGGTATTCGTTTTGAATAGAGCAGTGTGGTCGCGTCTCCTCCCGCCTCCCTTCCTCCTTTTCCCCTCCCGCCTCTTCCTGTCTTGCCTGCGGGGGGCTGCGATCTGCGAAACTGTCGCCATTTTCGAGGCCTGCTGGGGGGCCCAGCACAGTGAGGGCCACGGGCGGATCCAAATTAGACCTCGCCATCCCTGGGGGGCTGCGATCTGTGAAACTGTCGCCATTTTCGAGGCCCTGCTGGGGGGCCCAGCACAGTGAGGGCCACGGCGGATTCAAATTTAGGGCGGATTCAAATTAGACCTCGCCATCCCTGGGGGGCTGCGATCTGCGAAACTGTCGCCATTTTCGAGGCCTGCTGGGGGGCCCAGCACTGAGGGCCACGCGCAGATTCAAATTAGACCTCGCCATCCCTGGGGGGCTGCGATCTGCGAAACTGTCGCCATTTTCGAGGCCTGCTGTGGGGCCCAGCACAGTGAGGGCCACGCGCAGATTCAAATTAGACCTCGCCATCCCTGGGGGGCTGCGATCTGCGAAACTGTCGCCATTTTCGAGGCCTGCTGGGGGGCCCAGCACAGTGAGGGCCACGCGCGGATTCAAATTAGACCTCGCCATCCCTGGGGGGCTGCGATCTGCGAAACTGTCGCCATTTTCGAGGCCTGCTGGGGGGCCCAGCACAGTGAGGGCCACGCGCAGATTCAAATTAGACCTCGCCATCCCTGGGGGGCTGCGATCTGCGAAACTGCGCCATTTTCGAGGCCTGCTGGGGGGCCCAGCACAGTGAGGGCCACGCGCGGATTCAAATTAGACCTCGCCATCCCTGGGGGGGTGCGATCTGCGAAACTGCCGCCATTTTCGAGGCCTGCTGGGGGGCGCAGCACAGTGAGGGCCACGGGCAGATTCAAATGAGACCTCGCCATCCCTGGGGGCTGCGATCTGCGAAACTGTGGCAATTTCGAGGGCCTGCTGGGGGGCCTCCAGCACAGTGAGGGCCACGGGCAAAAATTCAAACTAGAAGCTCGCCATCCCTGGGGGGCTGCGATCTGCGAAACTGCCGCCATTTTTCGAGGCCTGCTGGGGGGCCCAGCACAGTGAGGGCCAACCGGGCAGATTCAAATGAAGATTCCTCGCCATCCCTGCGGGCTGCGATCTGTGATCCCTGTCGCCACTTTCGGAGGCCTGCTGTGATCCCCGTTTTCGAAGTGCAGGAGTGCTCAGATTGTAAATCATCAGCTTTATCAAGCCCTTTTCCTGTAGCCAGTGTCCTGCGAGTCTCCCGAATTCCGTCTGCAGACATCATCGCCCCCTTATGAAGTATCCTAAACTATTTGCGCCCCGCTTTTGCGCAGGGGTTGGGTACGTCGCCAGGGTAATTTTTTGTTTTTGAGGGGGCCAGTGGGCACTCCAGAGGTCTTGGAGCCCTCGGGCCTCCAGCGGAGCGGGCGCCAAGCGGCCACGCGCTCGAGGCCACCAGCCCCAAACAGTGGGGCAGTGACCAGCGGCAGCGAGAACAACGCAGAGAGGTGCCCGGCATCCCGAGGCAGAGGGGCCCCCTTGGCGCCACCGGGGCAGGCGAGGAGGCGGGGCGAGGAGAGGGAAGAAAGGAACTTCATTGGGAGCCGCAGGGCGGAGCGACGGCTCCGGCCTTTTGCTCTCCACATAGGGAGGCGCCCGTGCGAGCAGACAGCCGGCTCGGATGAATGGGGGGCCACATTTTTGATCTGAGGGGCGAGAGCGAACCTCTTCCGCTGAAAGCTAAGCGGGACGCGCACAGCTTTGATTAGCAGAGAAAGGGCGAAAGAAGGCGGGGCCTCACGGCGGCGAGTCGGGGGCCACGTGCGAGCCCTGCCCCTATACCCCCCACGAGTTCCGAGTAGGAGGCGGGAGGGGTTCACTCCGTTGGGGAGCTCCCGAGCGAAGCGAACCCCGCCCTCCCCCTCAGAAAATCGTGGGGGGTATGGGGGTAGGGTTCGCACGTGGCCCCCATAATGCGCCGGCCCGGAGGCGCTTCGGAGTGCACCCACGGCCGCAGCGGACGCCCCCCAGGGCGGAGGTGCGCCGTGGCGGCCCAGGATGGCCGCCAGGAGTCCCACGCCCGGGCCTGCGGCACGGCCCCCCTCCCGCGCGGCCCGAGCGCCCGGCCACTGGCGGCGAGCCGGCAAAGGGGGCATGTGAGAGTCTCGCCATCGCTCGGACGTCCATTCCCTGTGTCTTTTTCAGTTCTGTGCGTGGTTCTTTCGGCAAGTGATCAGGGATGCTCCTCGATGGTCCTCGCCGAGGAACAAGCGCACAAGTCGGAGCGATGCCAGGGAGTGGGCACGTCTTCTCAGAGAGCTCGGAGGTTCCCCGGCCTCCTGAGAGATTTCCGCAGGCTTCGCCGAAGACGCCGGAACCTTCTCGGAGGGCGCGAGGGCCCCCGAGAAGTCCCGCCGCCTCCTGAGAAGGCCCTCTCCTTCTCACATCCCCCCCTCTCGGACCCTCTCGGGGAGACGCAAGACCCGGGTACGGGGGACTCGGGTTGGCCTGACTGAGCCATCATGAGAATGACGAGACCCAATCTGAAATCTGACGCAAGCTCCAGCTGCAAACATCCCACGAAAACTGGGCCGTCAAAAAGCGGCAAACCCGAGTTCCGGGCGCACTCGAGTCTTGCGTTTCCCCCAAAATTGGAGCGGCCGTCTTGTTGTGTGTTGTTGCTGTGTTCGACCTCGGGGGCGGGGGCCCTCCACGGGCCCCAGGGCCGTCAAAGAATGACCCAGGAGGAAAAAGCGGCCCTGAGGAGCGACGACGACGACGACAACGACGCCGTCGTCGTCATCGTCGTCGTCGTCGTTGTCGTCGTCGTTGTCGTTGTCGTCGTCGTCGTCGCCGTCGTCGTCGTCGTCGTCGTCGCCGTCGTCGTCGTCGTCGTCGTCGTCGCCGTCGCCGTCGTCGTCGTCGTCGTCGTCGTCGTCGCCGTCGTCTTCGTCGTCGTCGTCGTCGTCGTCCCCGACCCCCGCTCGCCGCCGAGGCCACCCCTTCCGCCCGCCACGCCTCGCGCGGGCGCGCGCCCTGCAGCGCTCCGCGGTCTCGCAGCAGATCGCGTTCATGTGTGCCGACCGCGCGGGGCGCCCGCCCGCCGGCGGCACCGCCGGCGGCACCGCCGCGCGCTGCTGGCAGATCTCGACGGCGACCTCGGGCGCGCGCTCGGCCTCCACCCCCAGCGCCAGGCCCCTCCAGAGTTCTCCCCCTTCTGGTCTCCCGTGCACTCTAATCGGCCACGAGAACGGCACGGCCGTTTTTGTCATCGGCTCCGTTCTGCCGCTTCCTTGCCTGTCCTGGCGCTGCTTTTGCTTGCTGGTTCCGTCGCCGATGTCCTCCCGGTTCCAGATCCAGCTCCAATCGCGAAGCAATCGCTTGCTGTCGTTACCAGTCGCCGTGCTGTTGCCGTTTCCGTGTTCAAGAGACTCTTTTTCGAAAGCGATGAAAAAAAAACGACCCTCCCGATTCCAGGGCCCATGGAGAGCCCGCAATTCCACTCGGACCTGCGACAGCAGCACACCCTTCCAGAACATGAGGCCCACCGCCTGCCAGAGCATCCCCAGACCGCAAACTCACTCTCGAAGGTACGCTCCCCCAGGGTGCCCAGGAGGAGGAGGAGGAGGAGGAGGAGGAGGAGGAGGAGGAGGAGGAGGAGGAGGAGGAGGAGGAGGAGGAGAGGGAGGAGACGTCCACCAAACACGAAGAACGTGAGGGCACCCTCCCCGAACCGACCTCGATCTGGCGCCTCGGTCCGACCACAGGCCCTCCCGTAATTATGGCATCCCACATGGCCTCCCGCACGTGCCGTACGGTAGGGGGAAGCACTTCATGGACACTCCCCCGCTCCCCCAAACCTCGGAGTTGGCACGCGCGGGGGAGAGACTGCGGTCGAAGCGGGACTCCTCAGACCCACCGCCGAAATTTTGAACACTCGGGGGAGGGGGAGGGGTTGACCGATGAATGTGGCGTGCGTGTTCGCTATTCTTCGGAGGCCTCTGCTGCATAGTGGTATGGTGGTCCCCTTTTCCTCTACCTGTGGCGCTTGGGGCCTTCTCCTGCCGCGAGGGAAGCTCCTGCAGGGGGAGGCCAGGCGGGAGACCACACACACATCGGAGACCACGAGCAGCCCCCGACTCCGGATCTGGAGAGGCGCACACCGAGCCTCAGACGAGGTCTTCAACTAGGGGATCGACTGCAGGAGGGGCCCGTCCACAAGAAACCCAACCCTGAGACCCCAGGACGTCCACTGATTTTTGGTGTGGGAACGGCGTGCTTTCCACACCAGAACCATCGAAACCCAAGAAGCCCAGGGCACTCTGGAGGCAAGCAGGGTGTTTCGTGGCATGGGTCTCCACTGTGCAGGATATTGGTTTACCCCAGAACTGATTTCTCCGCCGAGTCCACGAGAAATGCGTACGACGCTCAGCAGATCTTAGGAACATTCTTTCGTAGATCCTGCAGAGACACCAATTGCGGGGTAAATCAATTATGCAGTCGATCCCCAATTTGGGTTATGCAGCCCCCTTGCAGACAAGCCGCCGAGGGAGAAGACACGGCTCCCGGGCCGCTCCGCCCCCTGGCCGCGAGCCAACTGATTCCCTGACGCTCGTGGGCCCCTCTGGAGCCCGACGACTGAAGGCCTCGACTTAGGTCGGGCATGTCCTCCTACAGGTGGATTTTTGAAGAAGAACGAACAATAGCCAAAGCAGATTTAAACATAGTCGACAAAATATAAAGATCGTCCCCCGACGTTTTTTTTACCACTTTTGATGAATACTCGACATCCCTTTCTAATCGACACCCCCCTAAAAAACCGGACCCACCTTCCATGGCAACCTGATCCTGATTTTCCGGACCCCCCTGGCAACGGCGGGCCTTGATATTCCGGACCCCCCCTCGCCTTCGGTTTCAGAGAAGCCGCCCTCCTAAGCCGGACCCCCCCGCTTCCAAAAAAAGAGACGCCCTCCAAAACCGGGAGGGAATTCCCGGTTGGGGAGGCGCCCTTCCAAAAGAGACGCATCAACAAAAAAACAAAGAGACGCTTCCCACAAAAAAGAGAGACGCCCTTCCAAAAGCGACGCCCTCCCAAAAAAGGGGACGAAGATCGGGGGATTTCGAGTACTCCAGATTTCGTAACAAAGGGAGGGGGGTCTCATTTCGGGGGGGGTCTCTTCCAGGCTATCCTGGACGGCCTGCGGGGGTCTGGGGACGGTGTTTTGGAGGGCTCTCCCACGAGGGGGGGTCCGAAATGGCTTGTCTTGGAGGGTCCAGACCCCCTCCCTTTTATTACGAGATCTGGAGTACCCTGCCGCCACTCCCGGCGCGCTGCTCAAAGTAACAGGCTTACCAGCCTGGAACATGTCCCTATCCCTATGCTGGGCACCTCCTCATCACGATGCCAATCTCAGGGATTCCCTTTTTTTTGAGGGCGAATCCCTAGGATTATCATCGCCTTTTGGCGTGTCAGTCTTAGGGATAGGGATACGTTCGAGGCTGGAGTACCTACGCTGGTGGGAGCCTCCACAGTAAGGCAGGGCGGAGGGCACCTCTGGCGTGCCCCGCGCGCGGCGGGGCGGCCTGCGCGGCCCGAGAGCGGTGCTTGCTCGGGGGGGGGGGATCCCGCGGGGGGGGGGGGCCGGCGGGGGCGGAGCCGCCCCAGCGGGGGGGCCGTGCCCTGAAATCCGACGCTCCAACAGAATTGGAGCGCCGGGAGTTTGGCCGTTTTCGCCCTCTGGGGGCCCTCGCCGGGCCTCGGGAGCGTCAGGAAACCACTCGGGACGAGAAAGCGGTCCCGGGGAAGCGGTCCGGACCTCCTGGGTCCACGCCCCCCAAAAATTGGAGCAGCGGGATGTCTGGGTACGGGGGCCAGCCAGAGGCTCAAACCATCTTCCGAAAGAGTATAAAAATAACCGTCCCCAGCCTATCTTTTGCCTATCCTTGACGATCCTTCGTGTCGAGAGACATGCCCGACTTCGGCCTCGATCTCCCTCGACCTCGAGGCCCACCCAGCCGGCCCTGTGACGCGCACGCCGGGCCCCCTACTGCTGTGGATGCCATGACAATGGACACCCTAACAGTCCTACCCTTGAATCAAACATGTGATTAAACTGTTTGCAAACATGCTCTAAAGATGTTTCGAGCATGTTCTTTCCACATTTAGGACATCTTCTAAACACTTTTAGACATCTGGATTTTTTTGGCAACATGCTCCCTCTCCATTGATCGTCGTCCGCAACCCTCAGCGGTGGACAAACCTCCCTTTAGTGAACCACCCTTTAGTGAAAACGGCCTGGGACCGAAACCGACGGACCTGGACCCGCAAGAACGACGCCCGCGACGACCTCTCGCGAACCGGGAACGGCCAGTTCGCTAATCGACGTGGCAGGGTGGGAGGTCTGTCAACCTCCGAGCTTTAGACACCTGGACACTATCTGGCAACGTGTTCCCTCTCCTCATGTTGCTCCCATCGTACCTGAGGACCACATCCCAGAAATAATCTCGAGCACCCGGAAGAGTGTCGAAAGAGTGTCGAAAGATCGTCGAAACAGTGCCCCCCAGGGCCCGACGCGTGGAAACCCTCGAGTTTGGGGGCACTTTCCCGGCGCTCGGAACTCTCTCTGAGGATCAGGGCTACAATAGGTTGGAACATCATAACCCTCTCCAAGGGCTCCCAACTTCGCGCTTCGCGCTGCGCGAAGCGCGAAGTGCGAATAACTTCGCGCTCTCGCGCCGCCTCCCAGGGTAGAAGGGGAGGATGAGGAGGAATCGGAGCCGAACCGCGAAGCGCGAAGCGCGAATAACTTCGCGCACTCGAGGGCGCCCTTGCTCTCCCTTGATCGTCGTCCACAGCCCTGCTGGGGGGGCTGCTCCGCCCCCCCGCCGGCACCCCCCACGGGATCCCCCCCCCCCCCCACTGGCAACCCGCCCGGGCCGTGCGGAGGCCGCCCGCCGCGCGCGGGGGCACGAGAGGGGTGCCTCCCGCCCTTGCCCTTCTGCGACGAACCGACAACGCACACACCCATACCCACAGGGGGGATCGGAGAGGGCTAACTGGGTGCGTGCTGTCGGAGGGGGGTCCCCGCTCGAACGGGAGCGCTCCCGTAGGGTCCGACCACTCGCACCCATCCCCATGGCCAGTCCTCCTCCCAACGACCGCCCTGTGGGCATGGGTGTGTGTTGTTCCCTCGTCGTTCTGTGGAGGCCTCCGCCGGCGCAGGCACTGCTCTTCCTTGGACCCCCGAAGTGGCTACGGAGAGAATGGGTAACTGTGCCCAACGGCAAATGTTGCCCAAAACCAGCGGCGGCCGCCGCGCTGCACTGCAAGGGCGATACACCCTGCGAAATGCTTAAGGAATCATGGGTTAAGAAATTCATAGCCTCAGAAATTGCATGTAACCCAGAACTTCTATCAAAATCCTGGGATTCACACTGAAAAATTAAGAATAATCGAGACTCTGGACGAAAACTTAGGTTTTATTAAGCATCGCATAAGGTGTATGGCCCCACGGCGGGCAGCAGGCACGACGGTGCGCGCCTCGCGTCGGGGGCGCCCGTGGCCACGGCGGGCCCCCCACACAGCGGCGCCGCCGCGCTCCGGGAGGGCCCCCCCGACGACGGGGCGCCACGAGAGGGCTCGGCTGCGGCCGACGAGCTGCGGCTCGGCGCGGCCCCCTGGAAGAGCCCCGTCCGAAGCCACGACGCTGGGCTTCTGGCAGGAGACAAGACGGTATCCTCCTCCTCCTCCTCCTCCTCCTCCTCCTCCTCCTCCTCCTCCTCCTCGTCCTCACTTGCCCTCTACCTCCTCCTCCTCCTCCTCCTCCTCCTCCTCCTCCTCCTCCTCCTCCTGCTCCTCGTGATCGTCCGCCTCCGCCACCCCCTCGAGACACTCCAGGACACCCATCCGAGAACCCCGAGCCGCACCTGCCAGCATGTTCAGCCACCTCCGGCCACGGCGACGGGGGCCTCCCCTCGGGCCCCAGCGACCAGAGACGAGGTGGGCCTACGACAGCAACGTACGACAAGACACACAACCCGGCCTAGGACAGGAGCACATCCTTCAAGAACGTGGGACCCTCCGCTGGCCCAAAACACACGGAACATCCCAGGGTACCCTCCCCTGATGCACGAGAACAGCCAACGAACGCGAAGACCATCATTAGTGCACCCTCCCCGAACCGACCTCGATCTTATATCTCGGGCCGACCGCATTGCTACAGTCGACCCGTATCACAAGGGTGCGCGATAAGGATGCAAGGGCCTTGGAGGCCCGAAGGCTCATGTTAACGTTGTTCGAACGAGGTTGGTCAGCGAAAGTCGCTAAGGATGGTCCGAAGGGGCAATGATGCAAGGATACCCGTGGTAAGGTTGCCCATCCCTACTATGCGGGCTTAATGTATAAGAAATCAAGGGGCACGTGCATCGTCGAATGATGAGCTTCCTGAGGCGCCCCTGGACTTCTGTAGGCCCCCGGGGCCATCGCGGGGTGAGAGAACCTCCCGTGGAGCACCCGGTGGCAGGCCGGCTTCCTGCTCTACGTGCCTGCTGTACAGCCGGCCCGGATCATGAGGATGCGCGATAATGATGCAAGGGCTGGTGAGGGCCATGCGAAAGTCGCGGGCCACGATGCGCGATAAGGATGCGCGATAAGGATGCGCGATAAGGACGCAAGGGCTGGTGAGGGCTGGTAAGGACACTCTTCGAGCGGGGCGCGGCCAGCGAAAAAGTGGCCAAGGATGCACCGAGGAGGCAAGGACGCAAGGGTACTAGGGGGTAAACAAACCTACCTCGCTTTTGACCGCCCTCGCTTCCAAGAGATACCAAGCGATACCAAACTACGGCCTGTGCTGGTCAGGCCGCTTGACGAGGAGGCGCGTGGTATGACTTGGTATTGCCTGGAAGCGAAAGCGGGGTAGGTAATTCACGCTCTGAAGTACCCCCGGGAAGGCTGCCCGTGCTTGCCGCGCGGACCGACTGCATCTCCACAGGGCAGCGGCAGGACGAGCGCCGCCGGCCCCTCCCGACAGCGGCAGCACGAGTGGGAGGAGGAGGAGGAGGAGGAGGAGGAGGAGGAGGAGGAGGAGGAGGAGGAGAGGAGGAGGAGGAGGATGAGGGAGTGGGAGGAGGAGGGAAGGCGGAGGAGGAGGAGGAGGTAGGGGCGGGAGGAGGAGCAGGAGCAGGAGGAGGAGGAGGAGGAGCACGAGTGGGAACCCACAGGCAGGGGGGCGCACGAGCCGACGGGAGTTGGACACGCCCCGGCGAACCGCGTGCAGCAGCAGGGGCTCGCGGAGCAGCATGCGCACCTGCGGCGGGCTCGCACGGACACGCCGCTCCACGGAGAGCCCCCAAAAAACAAAACGTCGCTTTTCAACAGAAATGGAGGAAAACACAAACATAAGCTCTTCGCGCTGCAAACGGATTTCTCGGATCCGCGCTGGTCCCCCCTCCCTGGCCCGCGGAGCGCGCCAGGGGCGGCGCCGGAGGCGCCGCCTTGGGGGGCCCAGGCGCGGGTCCGTAAGATCCGCGCGGAGCGCCACAAGTTTACGTGTATGGCGTCTCTTCTTCGAACTCCACGGGAACCCACCAAAAACAACACGTCGCGTTGCAAACCTACAGGCCAGAACACACACATGACTGGATTCGCATGTGGAACGTCTGGAGCTAGGGAGGGTCGACGTCCCCCCCTACGGGCGGATTAGTGATGATTTTGTTTCAATCAAGCCGTACCCTTTCAAGACATGATCGAACAATCCCGACTTGAGACTGGATTCACGTGTGGAACGTCTGGAGCTAGGTCGGGCACGTCCCCCCCTACAGGCGGATTCGTGAGGATCTTGTTTTAATCAAGCCGTACTCCAACCTATTCCAGACATCATCGACAAATCCCGACGTAAGACTGGATTCACGTGTGGAACTTACCAGCCTGGAACATATCCCTATCCCTATGCTGGGCATCTCCTAATCACGATGCCAATCTTAGGGATTCCCTTATTTTTTTGAGGGCGGATCCCTAAGATTGTCATCGCCTTTTGGCGTGCCAATCTTAAGGATAGGGATATGTTCGAGGCTGGTAAGGAACGTGTGGAGGCCGCGCGCTGGACCCGCGCGCCCGCGCGCGTGCAAGCCCCCCGCGCAGTTACCACCTGGCCAGGTGCTTTTTCCGCTCTCTCGCTCGAGCCGAGCGTGCCACGTTCGGGCCGGGCGAAAGGGGGGGATAGCAAAGGGGGGGTTTGAAAATCAGCTCACGTAGCTGATTTTCCCGGCGCCTCCCGGCGCCAGGAGGCGCCCATGTATCGAGGAATGGACCCGGCGGCGGGGCCGAAACCAGCTGCATGCAGCAGATTTAGTAACCCCCCTTTCCCTATCCCCCCCTTTCGTTCGGCCCGACACGTGGGCGATCTTTCGGAAACCCTGCCCCCCAAAAAGTGCTCATCTCTTGATAGTGAAGGCATGTTTGTCTTCCTTCCGCCGCTTTCCGCCGACCTTCCGCCGGCTGCCGCCAGCGGAGACGGCCTCGCCTCACTTCCGCCGACCTTCCGCCGCCTTCCGCGGCGGAAGAGACGACAACTCCTTCGATCCTCGGAAAGGCAAGGCCTTTTCTTGGAACGCCTCTTTTGGAACGCCGCCTCGGATGCGATCGTCCATCTGGGGTCGTGGCCGGCGGGGGCGAAGAAGAGTGCAACCGAGTCATCCTGCATGCTTCTCCTCCACGAATGCATGCGCAC